CGGACTCGCTTGTCCTTGTTGAATTCCATCGAATCTCACACGAACGAGAATCATTGAATTCAAGGGACTAGAAAACCCGGGTGACCTTGTCGTTTTTTTTCTGTTAACGTGTCCCTTGACAATTGAAGATTCATGTACATGAGATTTGTCTCATATACGCATCGATCGGGCTAACTAAGCTGAAATTTCGCCGAGATTATGTGAATGCATACTCAACACTCACTCAATGAATGATGAGTATCGTCTTGATTGGATCAAACTCACATTTTTTTTTTTATCAGTTCGCCTGATGGATGAAATGCAATAGAGCATGTAGTGGTGCAGCTGTTTGCTTTTTTGATTGAATAACCGGTTTAGTGGACTTACCTGATCAATTTTGCTTATGCCATGTGGACTGATTGTCCCGATCCGACTTGGCGCCGACTTCCCACATCCTCATCGCGATTGTTCCTGTATAACGAGGAAAGGACACGTGTATGCGAGTGGGAAGTGCGGGAAGCCATTGGCGGGCGCTATTATTTCCTCCCGAAACAAGGTGTTCGGGATTCATAGGCGCAGGTTTTGTCATTATCGATACCCACTTTCCCTCGTACTCTTTATTATTGCCTTTAACGATCTGATTGTCATCCCGTGGATGACAATAGTTCCCCATTGGCTCAACACCCTGTGTAGCGATTGTTGCCGCATTGAGCATTATCGGGAAAAGGGGTTCTACTACTTGACACGTGGTGAAGATGAACACAAGGAAAGAGCGACCCAGGTAAGGCCATCCACGTCGAATTCCGAACTCTGTAACGAGCGGCGTCAGGATTTGATTCGAAAACGAGATCCAAAGTGTGTACCTCTGCCCTTCCGTTCGAAGAGCTGACGAATAGCGTGCATGGAGTTTCAAAGATATTTTTTGGATTAGGCGAACGTTTGAAAGTAGCGCGCGCCCTATCTTTCCCGCACGGCTATGGTCCTTTCTCACTAGAACTCAAATCGCACGGGAGCTGTTCTGTCTGTGGCCCCACACTCGATACTCCCAAAAATCCTTGGCACACCCCATTTTGTCGTTCTTTCAGAGCCCATTCCGCATAATTTATCACTCCGACCGAACGACAAAACAGGGCGTGAGGTTAGAACGTCACACGAGGTGGGTGGGGTCAGGCGTGGGCGCCGGTTGACGGGTGCAGGGGTGAAAGAAG